ACAGAGTCTGCTTAGGATTCTCTTTCCCTATCTGCCCCTCCCCCACAGGCGTATGCTCACACTCTCTCTAAATAAATAAAGTTAAAACTTAAATTAAATTAAAACCTAAAAAAAAAGATAGCTATGGCAATGAGGCAATAAAAAGAAAGAAAAGACATTCAGTTTGGAAAAGAAGTAAAACCTTTTCTATTTGCACATGACATAATTTTATACATAGAAAATCTTGAGAAATCAGGATGCCTGGATAGCTCAGTCGGTACATGTGACTCCTGATTTCAGGGTTGTGAGTTCAAGCCCCATGCTGGGCATGTAGCCTACCTTAAAAAAAAAAAAAAAAGATCCTAAGGAATCCACTAAAAACAAACAAGTTCAGCAAAGTTGCAGGATACAAAGTCAATATGCAAAACTGAACTGTATTTCTATAAACAGACAATGAATATTCCAAATATAAAATTAAGCAAAAACTTCCATTTACAGTAGTAACAAAAGTAATAAGATACTTAAGTATAAATTTAACAAAAAAAGTATAATAGAGAAGGGTTAAAAAAAAGTGTAAGGCTTATACATTAAAAATTATAAACTATCACTGACAGAAATTAAAGACCTAATAAGGGGGAAGATGTTCATGGACTGAAAGATTTAATATTGCCTAAGTGGTAACACTTCCCAAACTGATCTACAGATTCACAGCAATCCCTATCAAAATCCTAGCTGGCTTTTTTGAAGCAATTGACAATAAGATCTTAAAATTCATAGGGAAATGCAAGGGACCCAGAATAAACAACATAATCTTTTTTTCTAAGTAATCTCTACACCCAATATAGGGCTCAAATTCATGACTCTGAGATCAAGAGTCACATGGTCTAGCAAATAAGCCACCCAGGTACACCAAACAATATGATCTTGAAAAAGAAAAAAAAAATTGGAAGACTCAAATTTCCCAATTTCAACTTAACAACCAAAGCTGCAGTAATCAAAACAGTGTTGTAGTGGAACAGAATAGAAAGCCCAGAAATAAACTTTTACATTTATGGTCAACTAATTTTCAAACAAGGCAGCCAAGATAATCAAATAGGCTAAGGACAGTCTTTTCAACAAACGGTGCTCAGACAAGTGGACAGCTACACATAAACGAATAAAGTTGGAACCATACTTCACATCATACATAAAAACTAACTCAAAATAGAACGCAGACTAGCTCGAAATAGAATGCAGTTCTTTAGCTGTAAGAACTACAACTAAAAAACTCAAAACAAACACAAGAATAAATCTTCATGACCTTGAGAAACACCTGGATGGTTCAGCCAGTTGAGCTTCTGACTCTTAATTTTGGCTCAGGTCATGATCTCACGGTCCCTGGGATTAAGCCCCACTTCAGGTTCCATGTTGACAGCATGGGGTTCTCTCTATCCCTCTCTCTTTGTTCTATCCCACTTGCGCATGTGCTCTCACTCAAAATAATCATTTATTTTAAGAAAATCTTCATGACCTTGGGTTAGGCAGAATTTTCTCAGACACAACACTAAAAGCATAAGGAATAAAAGAAAAAATTGGTCAGTGGACTTCATCAAAGTTAAAACTTTTGTAGGTGAACAATACCATCAAGAAAGTGAACTCAAAGACAACTCACAGAATAAGAAAAAATATTTGCAAATCATGTATAGAATAAGGAACTTGTATCCATAATAAAAAACTCTTACAACTCAATAAAAAAGGCAAAGGATTTAAATATACATTTCTCCAAAAAAAAAAAAAAAATACAAATGGCCAGTAAGTACAGGAAAAGTTGCTCAACATTCTTAGTCATCAGGGAAATGTAAATAAAACCATAATGAAATTACTTGATACCCACTAAAAAGGCTAGAATCAAAAAGATAGAAAATAAGTTTAGTGAGGATAGACAAATTGGACCCTTACACATTGCTAGTGGGAATGTAAAATTATGCAGCCACTGTGGAAGCAGTTTTACCTCTCTTCAAAAAGTTACCATATGATCCAGCAATTACACTCCTAGATATATACCCAAAAGAAATGAAAACATATGTCCACACAAAAACTTATAAATATATGTTCACAGTACCCAAAAAGTAGAAATATACCAAATGTCTACCAACTGACGAATGGATAAACTGAATGTGATATATCCACACAATGGAATACTATTCAGCCATAAAAAGGAACGAAAGTCCTGATCCATGTTACAACTCGGATGAGTCTGGAAAACATGCTAAATGAAAGAAGCCAGACATAAAACGTTCGCATATTGCCTGATTCTTTTTAGAAGATATATACAGACAAGGTAAATCCATAGAGACAGAAAGCAAATTAGAGGTTACCAGCTAAGGGGGGAAGGGGAGGAGAATGAGGAGTGATTATTTAATAGTATGGGGTGGTTTACAAAATGATGAAGATGTTTTGAAACTAGAGAGAGCTAGTAGTTGCACAACATCATAAATATACTAAATACCACTGAAATTGTTAATTGTAAGTAATGTGAATTTCACTATAGAAAAAAAGAAAAAAGAAGGGCTTCTGAGTGGCTCAGTTAGTTAAGCGTCCAACTTCGGCTCAGGTCATGATCTCACAAGTCATAGGTTCGAGCCCCAAGCTGGGCTCTGTGCTGACAGCTCAGAGCCTGGAGCCTGCTTCAGATTCTGTCTCTCTCTCTCTCTCTCTCTGTCCCTCCCCCCAACTCTCTCTCTCTCAAAAATAAACAAACATTAAAAAAAGAGAGAAATTAACTTAGGAGGGGAGAAAAGCATAAGTCCATAACAGAATTTGTACACAAATATTCATAGCATAACTTTATTTTTAATTGCCAAAAACTGGAAACAATCCAAATGTGCATCATCAAAACACAAACAAATAAACAAATTATGCTATAGCTCTATGATGGATTGCTACTCAGAAATAAAAATGAACTGCTGATTCATGCATCAACAGAGATGAGTCTCAAAATAATTATGCTTAGTAACAAAAGTCAAACCAAAAATAAATGTAAGAGTAAATTCTTTATAATTCCATCTATATAAAAGTCTAGACAATGCAAACTCTTCTACAGTGACAGAAAGTTGATCAGTGGTTGCTTGGAGACCACAGAAGTTGAGGAAAGGATTAAAAATGGGGATAAGGAGGGGCATCTGGGTGAGGATCTGACTTTGGCTCAGGTCAGAATCTCACAGTTCGTGAGTTTGAGCCCCCTTCCAGGCTCTGTGCTGACAGCTCAGAGCCTAGAGCTTGCTTTGGATTCTCTCTCTCTCTCCCTCTCTCCACAATAAACAAACATTAAAAAAAAATTTTTTTAATGGGCATAAGGAAACTTGTAGGGGTGATGTATATGTTCATTATCTTAACTATGGTAACAGCTTCATGAGTTAATAACACATATGTCAAAACTTGATAAACTATACACTTTTAATATGTACAGTTTACTATATGTTAATTATGGCTCAAGATCATTTTCAAAAAAGACAGGGAAACAGGACATAGGGCAATGTACTCATGCTGACCACTCAGTAACTGATAAGGGAGTAAAGGCAACAGTCTACTGTGCTCAATAATTGTGCAAACAATTGGCAAAACTCAACATGGAGAGCCACTCAGAATAGCATATAAATTTGAAATTCTTAAATCTACAAATAATTCTGTTAACCAACATTATAATTTCAGAGATGTTCAGTCTTCATTTTTGACTGGTTTTCAGTTGGTAGTGCTAAAAACTCTCCCAGTTATGGCAAGTACAACTATTAGTATGATCTGTAAATAAACATTTAGATATACCAGAAAAGCTCCTCCAGGAAGCCCTAATAAGGTTCCTTAAAGCTAAAATACCTGTGAACAGTAGCTCAAGTGCACCAAAAACAACAGAAAAGATTCTTATTATCTATTTTCTATCTTATTATATATACTAATAAGCTTTTAAAAATTCCTCATTATTATCTATTAACTTTTGTAAGACAAAGTAAATATCTATTTCATAAGGTAATAGATATTTACTCAGATAAATTTAAGCTACTTCAAGGTTTATTATCTACTTCTAAAAAGTCAGAAAAGGGGCACCTGGGTGGCTCAGTCGGTTAAGCATCCAACTTCAGCTCCGGTCATGATCTTGCCACTGTGGGTTCGAGCCCCACATTGGGCTCTGTGCTGATAGCTAGCTCAGAGTCTGGAGCCTGCTTTGGACTCTTTGTCTCCCTCTCTCTGACCCTCCCCTGATCACGCTGCCCCCCTCTCTATCAGAAAATAAAACATTAAAAAAATTTTTTTTAAAGTCAGAAAAGCTTTAAAGTTAAAACTCTAAATTGTGGGGGCGCCTGGGGTGGATCAGTCGGTTAAGCGTCTGACTTCACCTCAGGTCATGATTCAACATTCGTGGGTTTGTGCCCCGCGCGGGGCTCTGTGCTAACAGCTCAGAGCCTGGAGCCTGCTTCAGATTCTGTGTCTCCCTGTCTCTCTACCCTTCCCCCACTCATGCTCTGTCTCAATTATAAATAAACATTAAAAAAAATTTAAAAACCTTCTAAATTGTGTTAACTAACTAGAATTTAAATTAAAAACTGAAGGGGAAAAAAACCCTCTAAATTGGATTTTTCTTTACCAAAAAGTATGTCCATTGTTTTAAAGACAAAAATAAATAAATAAAGACAGACAAAAAGTATGATATATTCACTAGTGGGAAGAAGTTATGGATATGAGGGTGAAATTCAGTCAGTCAAAACCACTTTAGGTTCATGTATTTATGACAGGTGAGAAATGACATCATCCAATCCAAGCTACCATCATCTCTTACTTCAACTACAGCAGTAGCCTTTTTTATTTCTTAATTCAAGTGAACTCAATCTTCGTATACTCTAGAGTCTCAGTTCCCTCACCTATTAAATGGGCACAATAACACTTCCAACCTCGTGAGGTTGTGTGACAATTAAATGAGAATACAGGTATAGCACGTAGTTTGTTGCCTAGCGCACAGAAAGTGCTCTATAAATGTTACCTATTATTACCTGAATAAATGTTCAGCCTCCATGAGTCCAGTGCTGGAATGGCATCACATATAAGAAACAAATCTAACCAAAAAAAAAAAAAAAAAAAAGTTAAAAGCAATTTAAATCTTAATAAATTGAAACTCCCCCAAAAAATAAAGAGATCCATTTCAAAATCCACAGCAGCTTAGTATCTTCTTTCCCAATTCCTTTTGCTCACAATGTTCCTCTAACCCTACACCTGCCCTGAACCCTCTATATCCATTCCCACTTCCTGTATTTTTTAAATCCATTGCTTTAATGCCCAGTTTTATTATTTTTATTATTTATTTAAGTAATCTCTGCCGCCCAATGTGGGGCCTGAACTCACAACTCCTTCTCCTCTAATGATCCCCTTTTCTTATAAGCAGTTCTCAGTCTACTTTCTAATATAAATTAATCACCCAGTCTTACTCCTTGAAATTCTTCAGCTGTTTTTATCCATTATCCTTTTATATAAGACAAATCTAGAAACTGAGGTAGCAGATACTGAATCTCTCAGTAGGTGAGAATATAGAGAAGAGAATATAGAGAATACAGAGAAGCCAGAATTCTACTCACAGAATTTCTTCTGTGAGTAGAAATAAATACTACAAACACATAATTTAACATCCCCTCTCTCCAGCTACAATATTTATTATTACTATTACTGTGACAGGATTCTGAGAGTTGGCTGCTGCTTCATTTCACATTAGAAACCCTGAATGCCGAATGCCGCCACTAGAACCCCTAATATGCCAAGCCAGCCTGTGTTCTTGGAAACCCCAAAGTACTTAAGCCCCACCATGTTCTAGGCTAAAGTGAGGAGTATCCCTAATTCATCATTCTGTTTTACAACCCTATCCCGTGAGTATCACATTGCTAAAGTCTACCTTTCTACCATCGTACTAAGATTTCTATGAAAAAGTTTCTTTATAACCCCTGCACCCCAGGGTTTTGGCATTAGTAATGTGTGGTAGTCTGGTTAGGGTTGGGAGGTATGGCTATGGCATCGCCCTTCCCCTTTCCACCACCAATGTTGGTCCTGAGATACTGTCTGCATGGTGAATTTTTTCCCAGGAAATGCCTTATTCTGCCCTCTGCAAAGAAATTATTAGTTGCCTTTCCCCACAGGCCCTCAAGCCATGCCCAAATGTGCAGATTTTTAAGTGGGCATAGTGAGTTCATGCTGAGAGCCTTGCCACCCCAAGAGGTCTCCAACTCTGAGTCAAAGAATTAAAAGCAACATAATTCAAAACATACACCAGTACACCAGTACTTATTGATGTTATGGTTTCTTGCCCTATGTGTAATCTTATCAAAATTAAAAGTGGAATACTTTTGGAGCTCCAGCGTGGCTCAATTGGTTAAGCATCCAACTTTGGCTCAGGTCATGACCTCACATTTTATGAGTTCAAGCCCTACATCAGCTTGCTGCTATCAGCGGGGAGTCTGCTTCAGATCCTTTGTCCCCCTCTCTCCCTGCTCCTCCCCCACTAAAAACAAAATAAATATAAATTTAAAAAGATTTTTTTAAGAACACTTTCTAGAAGAAATTGAATTCCCTTCTGCCATCCATCCTCCGTAACTCTCATACAGTTTGCAAGTTTTTAATAAAAATAAAAATGCAACAGTCTCTTAACTAATCTAATCTCTCTACTTCCTCTCTGGGCACTCTATCTGTTCTCCCCAGAGAAGCACAAGTGATATTTTAAAAATGTAAATCACATCATTTAGCTTTCTTGATCAACCAGTTTCTTTCTACCAATGGTTTTCCATCATCCTAAGCGAGATCTACAAAGCTGTACAAAATCTGGCCCCTGCCTACTCTTGAACATGCCCCCCACATAGTCCCACAAAAAAGCCTTTGTGTTTGTCGCTCCTCCTGCCCAGAACACTCCTCTCTCATCAGGAAATGCTAGTTGCCTCCCTTCACGTAATAGTTCACACATCACTACAAAAAGATCTTTTCTGACCACCCCATCTGAAGTATCCCCCTCTCCCTTACTCTCAATCCCATCACCACATCTATTTTCTTCAAAGTACTCACCATAATCTGTAATTATTTCCTTGAAAATTGTCTGACTTCTCAAACAAAAATGTAAGCTCTTTGAGGGCAGAAAACTTGGTGCTCATATCTGTACCTATACCTCCAATGTGAAATAGTGCCTGACACATAATAAGCACTGTAACAGTTTTCAGTTTGATTCATTTACAAAGCTAAGCACTACCTCTGAGGCAAACTTAAGTCTTTAAAAAATTGTTTTGATTTGTTGAAATTATTTCAACTTAAAATTATTTAAACTTTTTAAAACTTACAGCCAATAAGATAGTCAAGCCATTAAAATCCTGTGTTCTCGTCTTCATTCTAACAATCTACCTTAATTTCTCTGAAGATAAACACTTGACTCTGAAAATAAAGATGGCAGTCTTATCCAGCAACACTGTTTTCTGGGTCCGTGAGACCCAAATCCAAGGTTCTCAGGCGGCAGCAATGGACAAAAGATCTGGTTACCAGCACTGCACTGAGAAGTGCCTCACAACCCAGAACATCTAGGCTAAAACTGACACAACGTACAAACGCCTGAGAGAACACAGTTGATAAAGAGTACTGTGAAACACTCCACATGCCTTGAAGATAACCTCACAAGAGTAGGAAGATTCAGTTCAGCCATCTGACTAGTGGTGTGTTCTATAAAGCCTTAATAATGACCCTGTCACCGGAAAAACAGATACTGTGCCCTAGACTTCTAATCAGCTCCATTTAGAAGCCAACATCCATCTTTTGCAATAAAATGCCATCTCAAGAGTTCCTATTCCCATCAAATTATCACGGTTTGGGCAACAGATAAATCAGAAACTACAGTTAACAAATCTACTTGTCTGGAACCCAAGACAATTAATTAAACTTACTTGGAGAAGCAGAATAAATAGCCTCCAGTCACCTGGAGATGAGTTTTAAAGATCCTAACAACTTTAACACTTGGGCACACCAAAATGGCTGTAATCTGCAAACCAGCCACATGTCACTTCCAATTGTACTCTTACACTGAAAGTGACCTTCCCCCTCCAAAAGAAATAATGTTTAAAGTCAGGTGAGTCTTGAACAATGACTCTGATTTTTCTAAACTCAGGGCTATGACAGCTACCTTAATGAGAGGCCCAATAAACTCCGGGTAAGGGGCTCACTGTGCTGACACTGTCACCTCATCTAGGACATCAGCTGATTCATCCTGATGGGCTGACAGGTCACTGACATCTGCACCTTGCCCAATATTCTTGGTTATTTCACATATAAAAACACTGTCTCCCCAAGACAACTACAGCCCAGACGCCTTCTCCAGCTGTGGAGCCTTTCCCTTCCTGACTTCACTGAACACTTTGGGAAAAAAAAATTGTCATTTCAAGCCCATATTAGTAACTCTAGATGACTAACAAGGCATGGAGGCACAGGGCCCATAAAAGGACCAGAATGTTAATCTACGGGTCTTAACCAATTTTTTTAAAAAGGATTTAAAAAAAAAAATCAAAATTACCTGGGGAAGAAACTAAGCTCTTCAGCATTAACAGATGTTTGGTATTAGTATGGTAATTTGGAAAATAACCCCAAGGTTTGGACTTGAAAATGTCTTGTCCTAGGCCACAAGTAAGTAATCACAGAAGACATCCTTTGACCAAGTAAATTTTGTTCTAACATAAACTTCAAGAAAAAAGACAAGTCAAGGCAATTAAAAACACACACACACACACACACCACAAACTATCCACTTCACTGAAAAGGAAGAGAGGAAAAAAATAAAATTTAAAAATTAAAAAAAAAAAAAAAAAAGGAGCAGGGGAGGAAGCCAGGGTGGCTCAGTCGGTTAAGCATCTGACTTTGGCTCAAGTCACAATCTCACAGTTTGTGAATTCGAGCCCCAAGCTGTGCTGACAGCTCAGAGCCTAGAGCCTCCTTCAGATTCTGTGTCTCCCCCTTTCTCTGCCCCTCCCATGCTCATGCTCTGTCTCTCAATAATAAATAAAAAACGTTAGAATTTTTTATAAAAGGAAGAGAGAGAAAAGGAGAAAGAAACAAACAAGGAAGAGCAATGCCCAATGTTGTAGATCAAACATGACCACAAATTATTGCAGCAATTTCCATCAAGAAGTAAAGTTTAGGGGCACCTGGGTAGCTAGGTTTCGTTTAAGCATCCGACCAGCTTGAGTCATGATCTTGCAGTTCAGTTCTTGAGTTCGAGCTCCACATCAGGCTTGCTGCTGTCACCCTGTCAGCACAGAGCCTGCTTCAGATCCTGTTCCCCTCTCTCTGCCCCTCCCCCGCTTATTCTCTGTCTCTGTCTCTCTCTCTCTTTTTAAATAAATATCAATAAAAAAGAAGTGGGGCTTATTTCCTCACCCCTTGAATCTGAGCTGGCCTTGTGACTTGTTTTATCCAATAAAATGCAAGAAGAAAGACACTATGCAATTTCTGAGCCCAGGCCTTAGGAAACCTTTCAGCCTCCACGCTTGCTCTGTGGAACCTAGTCACCATGCAAGACAGACTGCAGGAGAGGCCACAGCACCCAGGATGACAGCTCCAGCCTAGTGATGGACGATGCTGGAGTGAGGTTATTCCATACAACCAGCCCCTGGCCAGCCTACCAACCAACCAAAACACACGAGTAAGCCCAGCAAATATCACAGGGAATAGAGGCAAGCCAGATGAGCTCTGCCCAAGTTGCCTGCCCACTCAATCATAAGCATATAGTTGTTTTAAGCCACTAAGATTTGGGGTGGTTTGGTCCACAGCAATAAAGAGACACAACTACAATCAGCTGAGACTAATTCAAAGCATCAATAGTGACACACTCAAAAGCAGCATGTACCTTCCCATCATGTAAGGAAACTAGAACCTCTAAAGAATAATACATAGACCCACCCTTAACTGAGAAGACACAGAATCCCAGCAAAGCACTCATATGAATAAATTTGTTCCTGCATCTAGCCCATGTGTAAATACCTGGAGAAGATATGTGCAAATAGATGTATCCCACAAAGGACTCATATACAAAATATACAAGAAAGTT